GGTCTCCACGTTACTCACTCATCCCTTAACATTTTGCTGAGGTTAACAATCAGGATAGTGATTTTTGCTACTTAGCAGTGGTTCCCACTGAAAGCTGGATTACACTGGTTTAAAGAGTATATAAAAGGTCTCAGGATGAAACTACAGCCTTGGTGATCAGATTATCCTTCACTACACAGTTCCAGTGTCCTGGGCACATTTTTCTGTTCAGATATCATCCTGCCACTCTGCAAATACATCAGATCACAAGACTGCTGAAGAATAACAGAAAAAGCAGCAAAAAGACAACTCAAAATAATGATCTTAACCTGCTGTGCAATAATTAGAAATAAACTGCAGTGGGTGTGTAAAACAGCACATGCCATCACTCACTTTCCTCAGCCAGGATGTCTCTGGATTCTCAGCAATTTATCACATTTCACAAGAAGCAGCAGTAAGCAATGCACATGACTGGCAAGTAGAGCCAGTCATTTCTTCTCCCACAGGTTATATCTTCTACTTTCACTTTTATGATGAAGAAAAGTGAAAACATCCCTCTGTGATAATTCTGTATCCCTGTGGCACATCAGCTGCAACACAAGCCCTAAAAACATCTTTGGTACCAAGCAACCTATGCCTACAAAACAGCACTTCAGTCTGAATAATTAATATGCTGTCAGCTGGCCGTGTTTTTGGCAAGTGAGTGAATTTAATCCAATTACAGCAGAGGTGATGAGGTCAAGCTGAGTCTTAGTAAAGAATCACCAGCAAGACTGTCCTCAAAACAGAAGACACTGCAGCTTGCTAGACTTCTTCAGAAGAGCAGACACGCTGTAATGAAGTTTAGCAATGCTCAGACTTGTTATAACAAAGGTAAGTGCCAAGAAACTGCTTTGTGCCAGCAAGCAGAAGAGGAAAAGGATTCAGCAAGAACACACTTTGTAAAGCACACTGTAATCCTAAGCACTTAATTGCCTTTGGCAAGAGCTGCATCCCATTGCTCTCTCAGAAGTCGTTTTATCTGCAACTTGATGCTCACAGCTACAGGGATGAATGGAGGGGGGGAGGAGAAGAAACTGAGGGAACCAATAAGAGAACTACAGTTACCAGTCTGTCTTTACTGGACTACCAAAGCAAAATATAGAAAATATTGGTGCCCGCAAGGCCTGATCTGCACATCAGATGAATCCAGAGAGCTCTCATAGCAGCAAAAGAAACTGAGCCTCATCCAGGCCCTTTGAATTGCCTACAGGGGCAGGGAAATTTGCTGTAGAGTTGGACACCTGTATTTATACTTCAGTACTTATGTAGGGCTGGCCTCACTTCCAGACATTCTGACTGAACCCATATAGGTCAGTGTAAATTTGAAGGTATAATCAGAGTTTGCTTCTTTTCGCTGCTTATAATGCAGCATTCACAAATATTTTACAATATGTTAACCCCAACTCATTGTTCCCACATAAATGGAAGACTCAAAGGTAAATAATGCACCAAGCCTCTTTAATTAAATAAGGAGTCTGGGGGAGGAGTTTCTGTAGACCCTTTTAAATCTTAAAGCCTGCCAACTGGATGAACAAAAGGTAGATTAGGCTCACATGATAAATCCCAGCAAACCTGAAAAGCCTTTGTTAATAAGTCACTAAGGGAATTTCTTTCCCCCCTAGAATTTCTGCTCACCAGAAGTGAGAGTTAGGATTATTTGAGTGAGTTTGCCTTCCAGCAGCATTAAAGGGGTATATGCCTCATGGAGCTCTAATCTCCTCATTTCTATAGAGCTCAATTCTCCTTTCATTTCTACCAAAGCAGAACTAGTTATTCCCAGCTTTTATACAGGGAGCAGCTGCTGAAACTCCAGAGGCACAAAAATGTTTATTAAATTAGTCAAGATGCCCACAAAAACTAAACTGGAATTCTATATCAGCTTTAATAGCAACAACAACAGGAGTACAAATGTATTTTCATTTCATTTTGGCATTTCTTTCATGTAGCAGGTTGCTAATGAACCTTTTAAGTTTCCATTCATAAGTTAGTGTTCAGTAGCTTGTTCAAAGAGCCAAACAGCATGTTATTCTGGCAATTAGTATACTCTTCTGTTTGTAGAGACACTTAATGAAGACATTATTAGAGACAGACCTTGCTGTAGCATGTTCAACAGACCCTGTACAAAAGACCCAGATTTTAGCAAAACCCACACTGTAATCACAGATGACACAGACAACATTTAAAGCTGTGCTAAATTTAAAAAAATCTCCCAGAGTCCATCCTACCTGAATCCATCTGGCTTCACCAATGAATCCTTTTCAGCACTATGGATTAATCATATCTTCTCTGCATGCAGTGCTGAAATCCAAACAACATATGTAGTCCTAGTGTACATCACAGAAGCATTTCCATCAGTGAAGGGGATGGAGGCAGCTGTACAGGGTTTGCTAGGATGCTGTCTGGCACAGTAGATGCCACTGAAAAAGTTTAGATAGTCTACTGCAACACATGCAGCAATGTGCTTCTAGAGCAATGAGAGAAAGGACACCTACCTTCCAAAGGGAGGTTAAAAAAAGAGTCATTTAGCATCAAAGAGAGAAGAGTGTATTAACCAGCCAGTGGGGAAAAAAAATTATCTTCATTACCTCCTAACTCATACCTGTGGAACAAAGTTTGGAAAAGCTATTGAGTACAGCTCTAAACACAGCAAAAGCAAACAACCGCAGCATGTTTTATTATGAACTTGACAAGTTTATGAAGGAGAGGAGACAAGTCTGCCCACAAAACCAGGATCACTTCCAGCCCATGCTCAGACCTTAACTCAAACTACCTAGAAGAGTCCAACAACCACAGACTGTGGCTGCAGTTCTCCAGAGTCTAACCAAAAACTTCAGCCATTTCCTTACATGGCTTGCAAACAGCTTCTGAGCACATTTTCTGGATTTAGACATCCACAACTTTAAGGCACAGCATTTGGAGCTGTTCCGAACTCTATTTACATCTGCATTTTGTTTTAGGAGGGCTCTGAAAGTAATTTGTAGCTGTTGGTTTGTAGTCTTTCTAAATACAGTGTATTTGGCCTGCGTAAGGATATTGGTATGGATTTTGATTGACTGTAAAAATCGGATCACCGCCCAGAGGAAGTCCTAATGAACTTAAAGGAGAAGCCAGGGAGAACACAAAACAGACCAAAAACTGGTGAAAAATTGTGCAGCTCTTACATTTAACTTAAGCCAGTGGCAATACGTAATCCCTGCTCATTTCGGACTTTATAAATTCCCTTTCAGCATCCTACAAGCAAACCAACAGAACTTCACTAAATTATTTCCTTCATCCTCCTTTGCACCATGCAGCAAAACAACTAAAACTATGGACAGATGCTTGCAACAGCAAAGTATCAGATTTCTAACTTGCTTTGCAGCAGACCTACTAAGATTTCCCTACAAGACCAATAAAAATTGGGTCAGTGATATTAACTTCTGTGAGCCTCCCACATTTATATAAAATCCTAGCTGTGATGTTTATTAAACCAGACACACTCTTTCTGCTCATGCTTATCTAAAAAGGTTAAATGCCATTAATATATTGCACACCAGCACAGGACATGCTCCCTATCATTCTAATGACTGGTCCTCTGGCAGCAAACATTCTCCTACTAAAACAAAGTCAGTCCAGTTACTTTCGGAGTTAAAGCACTTGTTCTGTAGCATTAGGATGCAAAGTGTTCAGGATGAGTGTAATATTAGTGTATCACGAAAATGTGTTATCACAAGCACTCTGTTACAAACTACAATGCACACAGTGACCAGCTACAGAAGAACAGTATCATTTGAGGAAGCAGAAAGTACTTTAGATACGTACCAGATGAAAATTAACTATTCAGCTATTAGTAACTATAATTCTGATTTAAAAGCAGAAGTCTCCTAGAAAGGCGCTCTTAGGAGCCTAGTTCCAGGAACATCTCAGCAAACAAAGTTGCACAGGAAGACACATATCATATTTGGCAAATAATAATGCAAGTCATTAGCAAAATAAATAAAGATGTGTGCAGGAAGTAGAGGGAGGTAGACAGTAGTTCTGTTAGGGATTTAAAATACAAGAGGAACTACTACTTTCGTTACAGCTTCACTGACAGAAATGGCTTTCCAGCACTTCACAGAGAGGTAGCATAATTCTGAAGTCTCAGTAGGAACACATCTTCTGCACGTCCTGCAATTCCATGCTCACCCCCCATAGGACTCAATGCTTGGAATCCTCTGGGAAGTAGGGTGTGTGGAATCAGGTATTTGCATTTATCCTCTCAGCCATTCCCTTTGTAGAGAGCATAATGTAGCCTTCAAAACACTTATGATGCCGCTTCCTGACTCTGGAAGAAGTATTCCTATGGATTTACTCTGCAGAAGACAAGACTGGGGCTAAAAAGTATCTTTAAACTGTAAGAGGAGGGAAGGATTCTCTGTCTTTCCATCCCTGGTCTCCAGCTCCCGCTAGTCTGCCATGCCACTCCCTTCCAGGCTGAGTGCAGGGAGCAGTGCCAGGCCAGAGTCCAGATGTGTATACACAGGAAAGAGGATTAAAAGGCAAAGAATCCCCAAAAGTATATTGCTCCATAGCGGGAAAGCAGCATGCAGAGAAGTGATTCCCTGTCTCTGCCAAGTTAATGATTTTAAATATTCATCTCCTTCCCCCAACCTTATGCAGCATGTGTCACCAGGATTTACTCTTCTCTCAGACACTAAGCATATTGTGCAACGTGGTACAAATTACTTTGAGAACAGCAGAAGTTAAAAAAAAAAAAACCCGACACATAATTTAGTCTGAAACATTAAAGATGTGCATGTGGAGCGAAGGAACATTCCTACATGTGCCTCCACATATGCACCTTTGTATTTGAAAGGCTCAGGAGTCCAAAGGAGAGCCAGAGAGATTATCCTTACAACCCAGCCTATAAATGCTTTTTCCTAAAAATCCTTTGCTACCTGCCAGCAGAGAAGAATAAAACTTTAACAAATCATACATAAAAGATGACAAGTACTTACTACCAGGTTTGCTTGCTCTTGGATTAATGCACTCTGGGAGAGGAGCCGTCGGTGAGCCCTCCTCCCTGCAGGAGCCCAGCTGACGCTCTCGCAGGGGACGGGGCGGGAGCTGGGCTGAGGCACCCGCAGGAATCCCGCGGCTCCGGTGCTCCAAGCCCGGCATGTGCCCGCAGCCCGAGCCGCTGGGCTGGCCCGCTGCAGCGCCGCTACCTCGTCCCTCCGGAGAAGCAGGTTTCCCTCCTTCTCCTCCTCCTTCTCCGCCTACTTCACCTCCCCCTGCGGAGGATGCCCCGGTGCCCCCCACCCGTGCCCGCCCACGGGCTTCCCCCCGCGTCCCGGGGCGCAGCCGGCAGGGAGAGCCCCGCGGCCACGAGTCCGCCCGCCCGCCGAGCTCCACAGCCCCGGACCGCCTCCCAGAGCCCACCTGCCGCTCCGCTCGGCTCAGCTCGGCTCAGCTGGGCTCAGCTGGGCTAGGCTAAGCTGGCCGCGGCTGCCCCGCACAGTCCGGGAGCGGGGGAAGCGCGGAGCCCGCGGGGGAAGCGGTGCCCGGCGGCGATACCGACTGCGGTCGGAGCGGCTGCCTTTAACTCCTTCCCTGCGGAGCCTCGTTCGGCAGCGGCCGGGGGGCCAGGGGGAGCCCCGGGCCCGCCACAGCCAGCGGAGGCAGCGGCACGCCCAGCCCAGCCCAGCCCAGCACCTGTGGAGCGCAGCTCTCCCAGGAGAGGCGGCTGTGTGGGGGGTGTACAGAGCGGGGCCTGGGGGCGTATGAGGAGTGTGTAGGGGTGTGCGTGGGCGCTGTAGGAGCTGGGCACAGGAGAGCCATGTGGTGGCTATATAATGGGTACATGGGGGTTATAGATCGTGTATGTATGGGCTGCACGTATGGGGAAGCACAGAGGAGTGTGCTTATGGGCTGGCATGGGACATGAATGAAATAAGCATGGGATGTGTACGTGTGTTCTGGGATGAGAGCATATCCTGCATTTAGGGGGAGTGCACAGAGGATGTATTGTAGGGGAAGGTCTGCGTGGGACTTTGATAGGATGTCTGAGGGGAGCGCAAGCATGTGGGTGTGTATGGGGTGTGTAGAGGTCTGTACGGAGCTGCAGCCCTGCCATGCACTGCCCCAGTGCCAGCAACGGGGCACTCTCACAGATGCACAGGGCCTTGGGGATGGCTTTGCCTCCCCTCCTCCTCCAGAGCCTGGCTAGGGCCCATGCGCTGGCACATCTGTCTAGGGATGTCCAAATCTGGGACAGGGGATTTAGTTTAATAAACCGTTTACAGTTAATTGTGTTAAGTGCTAAATTAGTGTACGAAGGAAGAGCAAATGAGAGATGGGGACAAATTGAATCCTCTTCAACAGTAAGACCTTAGAACTGCTGTTTTACAATGTGGAGCTGGAGACCCTGAAGGGGAGGGGTAGGGAAACCAGGTACATTGCAAACTTAAAGCCTTTTTATTCCTGTATTTTTTAATATTTTTTTTTATTTGCAAATTTAAAAAAAAACCTAGTCAGCTATTTATCTGAAATGGATTTATAGCCAGATCATAAACATACATGGGGATAGACATAAGAGATAGACATAAAAGATAGACAAAAAGCCCAGGTTCTATGGATAAAGTCTTTTTTTTCTGTTCTCTTGCTTTGTCCCACGCTGTGGTCAGATTACTGCTGGGTACCTTTAAATGTGGTTCTGAACTGCTACAGAAAAAGGAAAGAAAAAGATGCAGAGAACTTCCCTCCTCACCAGGCTCTAAGATACCTCTGGGGTGGTAGAGCAAACGACAGTCCAGGTTACAATTCTTTCTCTCCCCTTCACTGTTTCAGCAACCATCAACTCAGAAAAATATGGCCAAGATAAGCAAGTCACAGCAGAGATGTGATGTCACAGTGCAGCGATGCCAGGAGTTTTATATTTGCAGAGACCTCAATGTTTTTCATTTTGATTCTGAGGTGAATTTTTCTGCCATTGGTAGAGCACGTGCCCTGCTACCTGAGTAGGCTGTACAAGGAGGCAGTGCTTGCTTTTTCTGGTATATCATTCCTGGTACCTGAGCACAAACCTTTGCAAAGGACAAAAGCAGTTACCGGTATGAGTCCATGAAAAGTTATAGCCATTACTTTTGACTCTTTCAGGTGCAGTACAAAGTGAGTGAGCTGGGAGGAACTGCTGCTGCCTCTTCAAGAGAAGGCGGTGATAGTTTTCTTATTCCTAATTTCTTTAGATTCACCCTGTTAGGAGAAGAAGAGGCTATTCCTGTTTTAAAGGCTCTGGGACTTTGAAAACAGATTAATAGAGACTTATTTTTTTTTATTTTTATTTAAACTGGAGTCGCCGAAATGGGAGTCCTGAAGAAAAGTAACTTTGTTGTCGGAGGTTCTGAGTACCTCAGTCCTCTCACCGTTTCTGTTAAACCTCTCTCTGCAGATTTTCTTCTCTATGAAGTTACAACAGAGTTTCGAGAAAATTTTAAGAAAATCTGTAAAGTAAAGTAAACCTGTGAGTTGGTAGAAATGAATTTTAAAGACAGCTATTGGTCAGTTTACTTCACAGGTAGACTGGTGCCAGGTAACGCTATTTATAGTACTAGCATTCAACTGTAGGTACATGCTGTGCTAATTACATCCAGCCAGACTGTTACATTTTCTTTCTCAATGCAGGGTTGTGGCATATTCTGGAGGCATGTTTTCCTCTTTAGTCAAAAACAAGTGGACATACATCACTGATCTTTGATGAATTGTGTGACTGTAGTTGAGTTCAAACGGCAGTGCACAAGCACGGAATTCCACAGCTACATACCCATTGGCACATGAGCTGTTAAAAGAAAGATGCTTGTTGTATGAGCATTTTCTTTCTGCAGATAAATGTTTATTTGGCATTAGAATGCAGAAAGAATATGAAAACCCAAGAGCTATGCAGAGCCTGGCACAAGCTTGCTTTGATCTTCTCCATGGTCTGACTGAAGTCTGTACGGCCAACACCTTTTTGGAAGGAGTTTTCTTCTCAACATTTTTGAGTATTGTTTTAAGGAGATACTGCTCTGCATCATGCTTATGCTTTTCTGCGCTGATTTTTAGCCTAGGCTTCATGAAACCCATTTTCTTGTAAATGTTCTCATGTCTTACCAGTTGGGAGTTGCTGCTCTAGACAATCTTGTAATAGCATCACCGTATCTGCTTTCAATTTAAAATGATTGCTCAGGCCCTAAACACTCACAAAGAACAAGGCCCAGTGTTGCCAGTGAACCCACATCTGCCTTCAGCTGAGAGGGAGGAGTAGGAGACACTTGAATTGTGATGAAAGCCACTGAGCTCCATAAGGAGAGCAGACGGTGCCCCTGCTGGGTTTCAAGGGATTGACTCATTTTCAGCAGAGCTCACATATTTCTCTTTTTCTCTTGTTGTTTTTTTTTTTTTTTTTTT